GCCTTTCCCGGCGCTCCCCTCCCTCCCTCCCTCCCCCCGGCGCCTTCCCCGCCCGCCCTGCCCGGGTGCCTCGCCGTGCCCGGGGCTCGCCGCTCACCCGCCGTGCCCGGGCACGGCCAGCACGGTGCGCAGGGGCTGCACGACGCCTCCCGCGGGGCCCGACGAGAAGTTGCCCAGGGCGGCCTCCAGCGCCGGCAGCAGGAGGCTGGAGCGGGGCAGGTGCTTCTCCACCTCCTCGGCGCCGATGAAGGCGGGCGGAGCCGAGCCCATGGCGAGCACCGGCACCCCGGGACGGCACCGGGACGGGACTGCGACACCGCCCGCACCGCCGCTAAGAACCCGCCGGGGCGGCCCCGCAGCCGCCGCCCCGCAGCGGAACCGCCCCGCGTCCCGCCCCGCCCCGCCCCGGCCCCGCCTCGGCCCCCTCCAGGGGCGAGGGAAACTTTGCAGAAGCAAAAATAGCTCGGCTGCCCACACCTGGAGATGTGCAGAAAAAGGCGTCTTTTGAATCTAATGCTGTACTTCGGATGCGTGTTTTGTGCTATCTGATTGATAACCCTTAAGTGCTGTAACAACCCGCATTCTTCGGAACGTGGTTTCCTCACCGGCAAAATAGGGGTGTTATACTCCAATTGACATTCCACCAAGTCCGTGTTGTTGAAATTTATCTATTAGTTTTTCCAGCCCCTTCTTCACATCTTGTTTTATAGGACCTTTTTTCTGCCTTAGTGGTTTGACATTAGGTTTTAATGATGCTCTCACAGGTTCTGCCAATTTTGAATGTCCTGGGGCACCCATAGCACATACCAAGGGCATAACTGTTTTCTACCCCAGCCAAGATTTCTTCTTCTGATGGGTCAAGTGACTGTAACATAAAAACTTGGGCTTCCAGAGGTTTAGGTTCAGGGATATGAACTTCTATTTTTCCTTCCTCAAAAGTTATCTGTGCTTCTAATTTGCTTAAAATGTCTCTTCCTAACAGGGGCATAGGACAATCTGGACTATTATATATAAAAATTTATGTGTTAACCACTTTTTCCCAATTATAAATTTCAGAGGTTGAAAGAATGGCCAATTTTGTCTGTCTCCAGTGGCACCAAGTACATGAATAATTTTCTGACTTAATTTCCCTTTACATGTATTTAAAACTGAATACACATCTCCAGTATCTACTAAGAAATCCATTTTCTCACTTGCCAGTGCTAATGTAACCAGAGGTTCAGCTGGGGATGACACCTCTGGTCCCTGTCACACATCTTCCAACATCAAGAGCTGTCCTGCTTGATCAGGAGCCCTGGGTGGACTCTGGGTTCTGGCAGCTCCTACCTGTCCCATTCCCACTTCCAGTGGCCCTGCTCTCAACAAATAGCACACTGATCCCCATCCAACTACCTGAGTCCACCTCTACTAATTCCTCCTCTGCCTCTGCGGCGACCCCATTTTTGGGCTTTGTTCCACTGAAGCAGCCACTTCCACGCTGCTTCCAACAACTTACTCGAATTCCTCCCAATACTAGTGGAATATCACTCCCGTCAGGGTCCTCGGGTCAGACAATGCCTTCAAATACCTCCACAGCTTTCCCTGGGTCTTCCCTGTAAGTCCCTGCTAACTTTTCTAAGCAGCAGTGGCTCGTTAGTTCCTATTGCTCACCTCAGCGGGGTTAACAAAACAGCCCTGGAGTTCCAGCCTGTCTGATACCACATCCCCAAAACAGCAGCACCGCCCTGGCCCCCTACCAGCCCAGGCACACGGCCAGGGCTGTTGGCAAAACACCCCCTGGCACGATTCAGGGAGGTGAGCAGCAGTGCAGCAGCAGCGAAAGCAGAACGTGGCCACCAACAAGCACCAGACTTTCATATACAATCAGGAAGGTGAGTGCTGGGGCGAGCACAGGAGCCTCCTCCTTATCAGCCTAAGAGCACTAGCAGATACTAATCGTGCCAAAAGGTGTGGTTTAACTCCAGCCAGCCCCAAGCACCACACATAAAATCTCTGGTGTGCTCTGGAGTCCTCAGGATCCCGGAATCTGTGCAGTGTCAACAGCATTGTCCCATCTGAGTCACCAGAAACTGTCACCAAAAATGGTGAATAAAACCCTCTAACACTCTTTGTAGCATTGGAAAGCAGCATTACTTTATTTTTGGTGCTGGGCATGCAGGGGATGTCTCCTCCTATCACACACCCAGCTAGGTAACATACTGATTCAG